ATATATTATATAGATTCATTAAAAATAATGAGATATATTTCAAGAATTTCTTTCTTTTAATTTGGATGACTATGGCTTACAGCTAGTAAAAAAAAACTCCAAAAACAGTATCTCAGAAAATTAGAATTTTGTGAAAAAGTTCAATATTATAGACTCCTGGTTTCACACTCTAACTCAAAACACCTGTAAAGGTTTCCTGAGTCTTTAAATGGTATCAGTCTAGTTCAGTAGGTTACAAAATCATGGGGAAGACTGCTGACTTGACAGTTGTCCAGAAGACAGTCATTGACACTCTCCACAAGGAGGGTAAGTCACAAAAGGTCATTGCTAAAGAAGCTGGCTGTTCACAGTGTGCTGTATCCAAGCATATTAATGGAAAGTTGAGTGGAAGGAACAGGGATAACTGCAGCCTTGAGAAGATTGTGAATTTCCCCCAAATTCTTGAATAGCCTTTGCTTCACAAAGAGTGGACTATTACAGGTGTCAGTGCTTCAAGAGTCACCATACACAGACGTATCCAGGACATGAAAAAGGGGGGGCGCATGGAATAAGCAGTCTGTATAGTCTAGGCTGGATGTGGGAACAGGAGTTGGCGGAGGAATAACCGGTCTGAAACACCTGGCAAGCTGTGGTAGAGGGAAGCAAAGACTCTGGAATGGATGAGAAGAGAAACACAGTGCCTCTGAGTGTAGACTGTAAATATTTAATGGTGAACATAAATAAAACTACTTACATGTAGGAGTATATAAGTAGACTTATAAGGGGTTAAATGAGGCACAACACCATGGAGTTGTTTATCTGGAGCATGGAACAGGATGGCCATCTGGACAGCAGGGAGCGCTGGAGAGGTGTCAGGACAAAGCCTGTGATGCAAGCCTGTCAAGTCTGTGTGAACTTCGGTTGGACAGCAGGGTGCGCTAGAGCGATGTCAGCCCCCCCTGTCGGCAGATTTAACCAGTTGTGTCGCCCCCCTTGGCCGCCCGGCCTATAGCCAGATGGTGGCCGGGCGAGCAGCTCATCCCTCCAGGTGGATACCATATGGCATCCTTTCAGGCATGCGCAGTGCGCCTGCCCGCAGGGCCGCTCTGCGGCGCGATCTGTCACCTTGGACACTGCCGATGACAGATCTGTGTACTGGCTCCATTTCCAGTACCATGTGACCTGCTGTGACCAATCACAGCAGGTCACATGACAGTTGTACACAATGGATGGATTCCTTTCATGCCATCCATTGTATACAAGTGTGCTAGCTGTGAATGGTCACAGCAATCACATTCACAAGCTGGGCCAATCACAGCCCAGCTGTGTCATGTGATTAGCCATGGCAAAATCACAGCTAAGCACAAAAAAAAAAAAAACCCTGAATGAATCAATGTCATTCAGGTAAATGCTTGCTTATAGCAAAGTAATCCTTTGCTATAAGCAAATTGTGTACAAAAAAAAAAGAGAAACAAATGTAATAGAAAAGTAAAACTAATAAAAAAAAAATTTAAAATTAACTTTTTTTTTAATACTGTCACCAGTCAGTGTCCCTGATCACCACCCGTGCCAGTTATATGATGATGATGATGTACTGTGCTGGTGACAGTATGTAAAAAAAAAAAAAAAAATGGTGAAAATTGTTTTTTACATTTTTTAATTTTCCGAAAAATTGACAAAAAAATTACAACTTCAAAAACTCGCCATGCCTCTTATGAAGTATGTCGGACTGTCTAATTTGCAAAAAGTTGTCATTTGGGGGATATCTGTACTGTTCTGACATTCTTGGACCTCAAGAAATTAGATTGGCTGTCAGTACTTCAGGATTGATCAATATTCAGATCTATACCATAGTTTGTGAACTCTATAACTTTCCTACAAACTAAACAATACATCCTAATTTGGGTTATTTTCACCAAAGACATGTAGCAGAATACATCTCGGCCTAAATTTATGAAGAACAATTATTTATTTGTAAACTTTTACTGTTTTTAACACAGGAACGTGTGCATTTGGATTGTATACTTGCATTGATTTGTACAGGCTACTGCCTGTGGCTGTACACAAACAACTGTGGCTCCTGGGCACAGAAATGCACTCTGTGTATGTATGAGGTCTTCGGGCTCATTCATATGGCACTGTGTCCTGTACAGCACATTGGATGCTTTTTTTATGTGGATAGAGCCGTCTGGAGCACACACTGTATGGGGATGCAGCTGCTGCCTTCCTTTACAGTAATGTAGCCAGGGCCGGTGTTAGATTATTTAGCGCCCTAGGCAAGACCAGCTACTTGCACCCTCCCTGCATGTCAATGGCTGCTATTGGCCGCCGGCAGCTGTCAGTCTTCAGAGCCAGCGCTGGCATGCAGCTATCAATCAGCGAGAGAAGTGTAGGCATGGCCTAAGCCTCCTCCTTTGAGTGGTAATACTGTAGGTGGGAGAAGGAAAGGAGCTTGATTGACCAGTCACATGACCGTAAGGAATGTTAAGAGGAAAAAACTGTTGGAGGACAAAAGTAACCTAGTCCTGAAATTGCTAAATGCCCATAGAGGCTATGGAGGGGGCACACACTTCAGGCTGCTTGTCTTTAGAAGCAGAATTAAACTTTGTACTGTGCAAACAAAGAAAAAAATATACAAGTGACATTTGAGTGTAGCAGTAAATAAACTTTTATTTTTTATTAAAACTCAATTTATTGAGCAAAGTAAGTAACTCAGAGGATAAAAGTGATAAAAGGCTCATCAATGCTCCGTTGTGAAGGGCATCTGGTGTGCAGACTTCCGCTGCAGGCGGTGACACAAACATCACAGGTTCCTATGGAGCGGCCCTAGCTGGCAATCAAAGCAGAGGAGGAGGATGTGACATCACTGATGATGTGACATCACTGATGACGCGTCATCAGTGACATCACGTCCAGCTCCTCCACTGTCCAATTTTGTTTGAAGGGCTGTGCATACCTGAATTGGCTTCTCTGGCTGGCAATCCAATGGACGTGTCTGAGTTTGGCGATTGCCAGGAGAACAGTACTTGCCTGACTGCATTGTACCAGATGTAAAGTTTGGTGGATTATGGTGTAGAGTTGTTTTTCAGGGGTTGGACTTGGCCCTTTAGTCAGTAGGTGTATTTAGGTTTTGTGCTGCCCTAGGACACCCCCCCATCCCTGGTAGAGAGAGAGCCTGACACCAACCAGAGAGAGAGAACCTTTGGCTCCTGCTACAGTCAATCACAGCCAATGAGTTGAGAGCGGGGGGTAGGGTTGAGCCTGCTCAGGTGCCCCCATAGCAAGCTGCCTGTTATGGGGGCACTTGGCAGGAAGGAGGGAGAGGCCAGTAGGGCCAGCGAGGGACCCAAGAAGAGGAGGATCAGGGCTGCTCTGTGCAAAGCCACTGCACAGAGATGGTAAGTATAACATGTTTGTTTTTTTTAAATCTGCCTTTTAATATTACTTTAAATATCCTAAAATTAAACCTTTAATGGGGCTGTCTCCCAATCACTTCCTGTTTTGAGAGTTAAACTAATATAAATCTATCGGAATTGACTGAATGTAAAAGAAAATTTTGGTATTGAAACGTGAAGATTAGGGATGAGGTTTGGGTTTGATGCTTCCATAGGTTCACAAATTTTCAACTCTTTCAAAATATTATAGGCTTACCACCAGAAATAAGGAGCTACCTATAATGCAGTGTATAGCCTTGGCACCTGATCAGATGAATCCCTCTCTGGAGGACTATGTATAGTCAAACCATACAAATGGCTAGAAGCTTTGTGCCCCCCTTCCTTTTTCTATGGACTTTAGGCAAGGTTCACACCTATGCAGTTTGCTTTGATCCGTTTGTGCGTTTTTTGCACATGCATTTTCTACGTGTTTTTGATGCGTTTTGCATTTTTTAACTTTATTTTTTTTTCATGTTGCTAGGCAGATTTAAAACGCGAAACGCAGCAAAACCGCATTGCAATGCTTTTCTGCAGCGTTTCCGTTGAAGTCTATAGAACCAAAAACGCAACTTTTTGCATTTAAAAAAGTCCCTGACTCTTTTCAAAAAATGCACCGGGCGAAAACACGAAGATGTGAACCTGTCCCATAGGAAATCATGTTAAATGGGCTTCTGTGCATTTCTGCAAAATGCTGCGGAAAACGCTTAGGTGTGAACCTAGGGCTACTGAGGTTTGCGACTGCAAAATGTGCATAACTGTTCATGAACATTACATTGCTGCACCTACATGAGGGAATTCTGAATGACTAGAAGGCAGCAGGACAGTGGCTGGAGTCATGACAAATCGGTCATAACAATTGGTTTCCTTGCCTTATCTAGGACATTTTTTTACTTTACTTTGGACTTTTTGGCAATCTAGAATTTTTAACGCTAGTTATGTGTAAGCTGGAAAGCTTCTTTATCGCGGGTCTGCGGGATGCCCTTGTGCAGGCACGGCAGGACATTAGTTTTGCATGGGGAAAAGAAGGTTCTTGCACCATTTTGAAAACACAGTGGCTGGGAAATCACATGGTGCTTTTTTTTGCACCATGTGATTTCCCAGCGGTTCCCACACCTGCAAACATGTTGCATTTTTAGATGTGTGGGGGTGACATTTGGAATGAATGGCACCCCTGTGCGTTTTGGTTGCGAGAACAGGTGCAATTCCCGTAGTGTGAACCTGCACCGATTGTCAGTGGAAGTATTACTTGAAACTACAATCCCTATTGGTAGGCAGTACCGGAGTTAAATAACCCCTTTATGCTGCATTAGTAGCCAGTGGCAGTGTTTATTAACCCCTTCATGCTGTAGCATAAAGGGACACTGGTTCAACTAATGCAGTACAAAAGGGTTATTTAAAGTGGAGTTCCACCTGAAAAAAAAAGTCAGCAGCTACAAAAACTGTAGCTGCTGACATTTAAAATACAGACACTTACCTGTCCCTTGGTCCAGCGGTGTCCTCACCACCGCTGGTTTCACCAGTTGTCTTCTCTCCCTGGTGCCGGCATCTTCAGTGTGGCCACCTGGCTATGACAGCTTGTGGCTTCACAGCCGGGTGCCCACTGCACATGTGCGAGAATCGCTGCGCTTTGTGAATGGCCCCGTAGTCTTCTAGGACCTGACAGGTGTCTCAGAAGACTATGGGGGAGGACAACTTCTGCTTCCGATCACCTAGGCGATCACAGCGGAAGTGGGAGCAGGTACCTGTCAAATTTGGGTACCCCCACCCGCTCCCAAAGGTGCCAATCCTTAATGGGGAGCGAGGGACAAAGCATTAAAGCAGAACTTCCCCTTTTGGGTGGAACTCTGCTTTAACTGCCACTGATCACTAATACATCAGTGACCAATGACAGCACATTAACCCCTTCATGCTGCACATTTCTAATGTAAATATTAATTACCCCCTCCACATCCCCCCCTATTCAATGTCACACAACTAAATGACACTGTCACAAATACATCTTCCAGTCAATGGCTGCTGCCTTTGTTATTGCTTCCTTTCATTCATGCGCTGGAGGTGTCAGCACCACTCTATCTTCCTCACCGGGCCTCTGAATGACAGCAAGGCAGAGGTTGGGACTAGAAATCATCTGTCGGGGTGGAGAGCACTCCGCCTGACTGCAGATACGTATGTTTTCTAGACTGGTTCTGGATGCAGAAGCCCACTCGGCACCACGCTGCAGATCTGCAGGAGCTGGCGGGCATGTCAGGTCACAATCTACCTCTCAGATGGCCGCAATCGACAGATTGCCAACTCCAGATATAAACTGTGTGTGTTAATGTGGTTGAGAATGTGACATCACAGACACATCAAGTTATATATTGGTGAGGTTAAGAGGATTGCATCACTGTCAACCATTCATGTAGTCTCCATTGACTGAAGACCTCCAAAAGGTCAACCAGACAATCTGTCACAAGCGAATGTTGCAGTAGTTGTTCACTGGTGCATTTTATCACATTCAATTAAAAAAAATAAAACAAACAAAAAAAAAACCGCAGTATGGTTACATAGTTAGTCTGGCTGAAAAAAAGACAAAAGTCTATCCAGTGCAGCTATTAAAAAAAAAAAAAAAGTTATAATCCTATACACACAGTTGATCCAGAGGAAGGCAAAAAAAAACCAGCAAAGCGTAATCTAATTTGCTCGTGCTGGGAAAAAAATTCCTTCCTAATCCCCCGAGAGGCAGTCGGATATACCCTGGATCAACTTTACTTATAAATATTAACCAGTTACCGTATTTTTCGCACCATAAGACGCACTTTTTTCCCCCCAAAAAAGGGGGGAAAATGTCAGTGCGTCTTATGGAGCGAATATGGAGCGGCCGGTCCGGTATTTCCACTGCCGCCGTGTCAGAATACCGGGCCGGCCGCTCAGCTCTACAGTGGGACCTTCTAGAGATGACTGCTGACCTTTGGGGAGGGGGGGGAGCGGGTACCTGAATTTGACAGATACCCGCTCCCACTTCCGTGGAGTTGTTCTTTCATCTTACCCGTTCCTCTATCCAGCGGCGCGGTCTTCCCGGCTTCTGTAGTGTGGGCATGACAGCCGGGGTGCCAAGTGCGCATGCCCAGGAAGCGGTGCTTTTTGTGAATGGTAAGGCGGCACCTGGGACACATGACAGATCCCAGAAGCCGCTGGACCAATCACAAAGCGCAAGTGCTTCTCGCTCATGCGCACTGGGCACCCGGCTGTCATGCCGCGCGCCATTACAGAAGCCGGGAAGACAGCGCGCGGCTGGATAGAGGAACAGGTAAGATGAAAGAACAACTCCGCGGAAGTGGGAGCGGGTATCTGTCAAATTCAGGTACCCGCTCCCCACCTCCCCAAAGGTCAGCAGTCATCCCCTGTACTATCCACAGTCTCTGGTCATCCCTGTGCTCTCCGCAGTCTCTGGTCATCCCTGTACTGTGTCCGCAGTCTCTGGTCATCCCCTGAACTGTGTCCGCAGTCTCTGGTCATCCCCTGAACTGTGTCCGCAGTCTCTGGTCATCCCCTGTACTGTGTCCGCAGTCTCTGGTCATCCCCTGAACTGTGTCCGCAGTCTCTGGTCATCCCCTGAACTGTGTCCGCAGTCTCTGGTCATCCCCTGAACTGTGTCCGCAGTCTCTGGTCCGCAGTCTCTGGTCCCCCTGTACTGTGTCCGCAGTCTCTGGTCATCTCCTGTACTTTGTCTGCAGTCCATTAGTTCAGAATTTTTTTTTTCCTGTTTTCTGCCTCTAAAACCTAGGTGCGTCTTATGGTCAGGTGCGTCTTATGGAGGTGAAAAAAAATACGGTATATTCTGTGTATCTAAAAAAAAAATCCAAGCCTTTTTAAAACAAACCACTGAGCTGGCCAGAACCAACTCTTGAGGGAGTCTTTTTCACATTTTCACAGCTCTCACTGTGAAGAAACCTTTCCATGTTTGGAGATTACATTTCTTTTCCTTCAGACGTAAAGAGTGCCCCCTTGTCCTCTGTGATGACCTCAGGGTGAATAGCTCTACACAGAGTTCACTATATGAACCACTGATGTATTTATACATGTTGATCATATCCCCCCTTAGTCTCCTCTTCTCAAGAGAGAATAAATTCAGTTCCTCTAATCTTTCCTCATAGCTGAGCATGGTCTTAAAGTGTTACTAAACCCAGGACCCTGCAGTCACTATATCTGGTCTCCCACAGTAAACAAAACATGGAAATACAAATTATTTTAGTAAATCCAAACTCCTAAATACCTATATGTCTAATAAGTCTTGTGACTTCAATCAATGTCCAGCAGAGCACTGGTTAAAGCTTGTAGGAGGAGTTTTCATTCTCTCCAATGAGGCTGCAAGACCTGTCTGCATGTGATCAGCACAGGGCCAATCAGCACTTTCCACTCTCCCAAGGAAAAAAACTTTTTAGCAACACACACCAAACTAAGCATGTGCAGCATGCTCTCAAGGCTCAGTTCCATCAGCACATGGATTGAGGACAGTAAAAGAAGGGGAGATTCAGAAAAGAAAGGTTTTACACAATGCAGAGGATTGACCCCTTAGGTTCCAAAGTGAGTATAACAAGCATACTTTACTGCATATGCAGACTGATTTTACTGTTGTGGTTTAGTAACACTTTAATGTCACCAGCACCACCCCCCCCACCCACAGTGCCATAACATGGCTATGATTTGTATTGTACACTGAAGTGTTTGTATGTGTTTTATAACTGGACTGTTTCTCACACCTACTCTGGTCCTGCTCCCCAATCCTCGGAAATCCCATGACGTCCCCCCGTAGCAGTACCGGGTAGGTTTGCTCTACAAAGGAAAGCTGTCATGACAGAAGCATGAAGGCTGTTACGGAGGACCATTTTCCCAGAAAATGCCAATTGTCTGGCTGTCATGCTGACCCTGTCACCTGTCACCCTGTGACTTTGAAGAACCAAGCAGATAGACTTCTCGTATGTGCAAATTTACAGTAAGTAATCAGTTGTGGAGGTCACCCCTGGCATCCCCCATCTCTCTCTCTCATATAACAGGTTTACTTTAACAGAATGGCAGTGCCACATAGACATCCAAGGTAGACTTGTTTGATTCTGTATGAGAACAGGATGCAAGAAAAGTAAGGCAACAGAACAAACTAATATATTTACACAGTTAAAAGTTGAACTCCAGGATATACAAATATTTTCTAAATGCAAGAATCATGTGAATTCTCTTCCCTTGAATCTTGGTGTGCTTTGTGTATTTCTTTCAGATCTGTGCAGTAATCCAGTGTGGAACTTTGCCTCTGTGCCGGAGCTTCCTGTAATAAAGACCAGTCTGTGCTGCTCCCTCCCTTGTGCAGAGTGACTGGTCTTGTCCCCATCCCTTACTTTTCTGTAGGCAGCCTATAGTGGTAAAGGTTTATATCCTTTGTGGCTATTGTGGGGGAAAAAAAATGATATACATACAAAAAAAAAAAAAAAAATAGCGCAGTCCAGTTAACGGGAAATATTATCAAGGGCAAATCAGATTTAGCCACCGCGTGCGGAAAATGCAGTACAGTCCATTTAACATGATTTATTATGGGACAGGCTCCCATCTCCGTGTTTTCACCCAGTGCGTTTTTTGGAAAGGGTCAGAGACTTTTTTTTTTTAACTCAAAACGTTGCATTTTTGGTTCTATAGACTTCAATGGGAACGCTACCGAAAAGCATGTATTGCGTTTTTGACGCGTTTTGCGTATAAAATCTGTCTAGCAAGAAGAAAAAAAAAAAAAAGAAAAAAATCCCCCCACAAAAATGCAGCACAAAAGGCAATGCAGAAACGCATCAAATTCATAGGTGTGAACATAGACTAATGGTAGGGAGCTGCTATTAATGTGAGGGAGAAAAACTAAACCAGAACAGAAAATTCTATGACATACTAATGTTTAATAACTTATAAAGTTGGTTAGTTACAAAAGTACAGTAATACAAAAAGCAACTAAAAGTCAGAAGAAGAATATTCACAAAAGGCATTTCAGATGAATATATGGAAGTGCTGTAGTTTTGTTTACTTTGCTATGACCCACACTTCATTGTGACGGTCGAACAGTGTAAAAGGATCATTGTAGCCACAACGAAGATAGAATGAGTTATCAAATTCCAAGCCAAGGGTTCGCAGCTCCTCGGCCAAGACTTCAGCTTCCTTGGTATAGGTAGGATCTAAGGCATAGCCTCCAAAACTCCTGAAAGGAAAGGAAAACCATTACAATGGGATCAAGATCTTTTTAACCTCCAGAAGTTTTTCCACCTTCATGACCAGGCCATTTTTTCCTCTTCAGCACTGTGCTATTTTAACTGGCAAATGCGCAGTCATGCAGCACTGTACACAAATTAAATTTATATAAATTTTCACACAAATAGAGCTTTGTGGTGGTATTTGATCACCACTGTTTTTCTATTTTTTTGCTATAAATAAATAAATCTAAATTAAATAAAAAGAAGAAAAAATAAATAAAAATAATGAACACATTTTTTCCCCAAAAACCACACAACGCACAATTTTCTACTCTATTATAAAACATATCCAATAAAATTAAAATTTATGCCAAAATGTATTCTGCTACATGTCTTTGGTAAAAACAAATCCCAATAAGTGTATATTAATTGGTTTTTTGTGATAGTATAGCGTCTACAAACCATAGTGTAGAGGATCCCAAAAAAAAAAAAAAAAGGTACACACACACCTCAATAGTTATTATATATGCACTTTTTTAAAACTCAGTGCATGTGCAGCTTTTATTCTGTGTTGGAACGAGCGGCCACTCTAATTCATTCCAAAGGTGTTCTTTCGGGTTGAGGTCAGGACTTCATGCAGGCCAGTCAAGTTCCTCCACCCCAAACTCGCTCATCCATGTCTTTATGATCCTCGCTTTGTGCACTGGTGCGCAGTCATGTTGAAACAGGAAGGGACCATCCCCAAACTGTTCCCACAAAGTTGGGAACTGCAGTCAGTCAGTACACCACAAGGTGAATGTTTTACACTTCCGTGTTGGAACGAGCGGTGGCAGACTGAACGGGAGAGTGGACGCCAGCCTGGTCATGGAAGTGTAAAACATTCACCTTGTGGTGTACTGACTAACTGCAGTTCCCAACTTTGTGGGAACAGTTTGGGGGATGGTCCCTTCCTGTTCCAACATGACTGCACACCAGTGCACAAAGCAGGGACCATAAAGACATGAATGAGCGAGTTTGGGGTGGAGGAACTTGACTGGCCTGCATGAAGTCCTGACCTCAACCCGAAAGAACACCTTTGGGATGAATTAGAGTGGAGACCTTCTTGTCTGACATTATTGCCTGACCTCACAAATGCACTTCTTGAAGAATGGTCAAACATTCCCATTGACGCAATCCTAAACCTTTTGCACAGCCTTCCCAGAAGAGTTGAAGGTGTTATAGCTGTAAAAGGTGGGCCAACTCAATATTGGACCCTACGGACTAAGACTGGGTTGCCATTAAAACTCATGTGCATGTAAAGGCAGGCGGCCCAATACTTTTGGCAATATAGTAATATATATATATAGATATATATATATATATAAATTTTTTTTTTTTTCCCCCAAAAACCATACACCCCACAATTTTCTACTCTTATAAAACATATCCAATATAATAGAATTTCTTCATAAATTTAGGCCAAAATGTATTCTGCTACATGTCTTTGGTAAAAACAAATCCCAATAAGTGTATATTAATTGTTTTTTTGTGAATGTTATAGCGTCTACAAACCATTGTGTATACAGAGGATCCAAAAAAAAAAAAAAAAAAAAAAAAAAAGGTACACACACACCTCAATAGTTATTATATATGCACTTTTTAAAACCCAGTGCATGTGCAGCTTCTCTGTTGGAACGAGCGGTGGCAGACTGAACGGGAGAGTGGACGCCAGCCTGGTCATGGAAGTGTAAGACATTCACCTTGTGGTGTACTGACTGACTGAAGTTGAGGCCTCCTATCTGTGAGTTGGAGTTTCTAACTATGAACTGTATAAATGTCCCACTACATGGACTATTCTGACTTATATCTACACTGACAGCTTTGCTTGGGATTTGCTTGCAGGTTTAAATGTATAACCTGCCTTCAACCTAGCCCATAATCAGCATGAACCCCTGCGTACATCGGCTCTTACCCTATGTTCCCACCTAAGCATTTTCTGCAGCAGCGTAGTATAGTCCATTTAACATGATTTCCTATGGGACAGGTTCACAAAAAGGTTGAACCTGTCCCATAGGGTTTCTAAAAAAGGGTCAAGGACTTTTTTGATCACAAAACATTGTGTTTTTGGTTCTATAGACTTCACTGGAAATGTTGCAGAAAGCATGTATTGCAGAAAGCATGTATTTTTGATTTGTTTTGCATTTAAAATATGCCTAGCAACAGAAATTAAAAAAAAAAAAAAAAACCCCTCCCCCCAAAACACCACAAAAAAGCAATGCAGAAACGCATCAAATGCAACCTGCATAGGTGTGAACCTAGAGTTATGCCCCGTACACATAAGAAAATTGTACGAAAAATTTCACGGAACCACTGATCGAACGATTTTCTCTTCATTGACGAGCAGGATGTTTTAACCGATAACGATGTTGTGAACGAAAAAAATCCAGTTGAACAACAGTGAAAAATGTTGTCGTTTCACATACGAACAACCGTTTTTCTATGTGGTG